TCCCCCTCCAACACCACATATCCGACCACGATCAGGCCTTCATTCTAAGCGTGTAGAACTGTGTGCATTTTTTACGGAGAAGGCACTATAAAAACATGTGCGCTTTTCATTACTATTCTATACTGACCCGGTGATAAACTTTGATCACACTCTTATATGTTTTACGTCGTCCGTTTGTTTTAGTAGAGGTTTTACGGCGCTCGCAACTGCATAAGGTCATATGAGCGCCAAGGGGTGGATGTCAACAGAGAAGCCCTTACAGTAGGGAATCAGGCTTACTCTGCTCACCTCTCTAGCTTCAATAGCACAAAGTCTGCTTCGACTATCAAGGCACCCCGGAAATAGCGGGTCACAAGAGTATTACAAACATATATTATAAAGAAGTAGAGACAAAATGACAAAAGTAAGGATTTGGACAGAAAAAGCAGCAGTTTCCTGCTGGATTTCAGGCACAGTTATGAGCATGACATTGATGAATCAGCCCGTTTACAATTACAATTCTACTGCGCATAAGAACATGGTTAATGTCCCCCCTTTGGGAATAGCTTAAAGTTAAAGACACTTCAGTCAGTAGAACCGCCCCGGGATACGTGGGTCGGCGGGCGAATTAAACTGCATTGGTTATTTATAGGTTTAACACCCCTTTCAACACACTATGATTATCTAACAGGTGGGACCTTTGAAATAATGTCCATCTCCGACACAGCAAAGCTAAAAAAATCGGAAATCCGTCAAAACTCCCCATCAAAACAACCAAAGTTAAGGATCGATTTTTTATTTTTTAAAAATGTTTTACGGTGCTCGCAACTGCATAATTAAGGTCATATGAGCGAGCGGGACACATAAACATTTTCAGTTGGTAGGAAATTTTGAATTTTATCCGGGTGGCGGCCGAAGCCTACTCTTACTCTCGATTTTGAACCACCAAGGGATCTTTAACGTGCGAAACTTGCACGTGGGACCTCCGAGATTTTTCGCTCTTATCCGAGAATGCTATGTGTTGGATCTTACTTATCATAAAATCAGGGGTGGGGCTGAAAGACAGCAGTGAGGAGTAGCCAAGGAGTAGCAGTAGAAAGGCAGCAGAAAGAGCCAGGAGCCCATAGGATGAGGCAAAGGAGGCGAGGTGGGCAGAAAGTGGAGACAAAAGTAGACGACAGAACAATGTTTGAGAGCAGGAAAGAGAACATTTCAAGAGGAGAAAATAGTCCCTCGCTGTTCGGATTCGAACCCGGGACCTATTGAATGACAGGCGGACACCGTACCTCTCGACCACGAAAGCCCCCAGCCATCAGCTTTGTAGTCCAGCATTATACCAATGTAATTTTTTAGGACTCCTTGCCTTCAGGCATCCACATTTCAATTTCGAAGCCACTATATATTTTTATACTCACTAAAGTATTTTCAGTTTTGGACGAAATTGATTTTGAACCTTGTCCAGGCGGCGGCCGAAGCCTACTTTCTCGATTTTAGGACCACCAAGGAATCTTTAACGTGCGCAACTTACTGTAGGTTCGACTGCACCAGTCTGGTTATAGTCGAGTGCGCCCGGCACGTTCCCCTCTTGCCCTTCACGTGGTTCCCGGACCGAGTCAAAAGGGAAATTCATGTTCGTAAAGAGCCTTTCCGAAGAACACAGGGTCGGACCGAGTTGGCGCTCGATCCCTTGAACAGGCAACCCCACTATCAGGGGTCCGGTAGCCTAACCACTAGACTACCGACGCTATCGTGGTTCATATGGCGCACCCCAGACTTTGGAACATTTTCTTTGAAATGTAGATCTAGGTGTTTTACACTCGCCCAAGTCGACACTGTGTGGATCAATTAAGGGGCAGGCTCCGACCCTGCCCATCAGAACCAACCAGGACTGAGAGGGATACAACGACCACACTCGGTAAAATTGTCCTCCACACGGGAATCGGAGGGCTCTCATGGCCAAGAGGTTAAGGTGTTGGCCTCTCATTCAAAGGTCCCGGGTTCCAATCTGGGTAGCGATCGAAAAATGTTCTTAGTCTAAAATTGTCTCCTTTCCTGCTCTCTAGCGATGTTCTGTCGTCTGCTTTCGTCCATTCTTTCTGTCCCCCAGCCCCTCACCTCCATTGCCCCCTCCTCTGGACTCCTGACTCTTTCTGCAGCCTTTCTACTGCTACTCCTTGACTCCTTCTTACTGCTGTCTTTCAGCCACACCCTCGATCCTCAGGTAGGAAAGATCTACACCTAGCCTTTTCGGACAAGGGCCAAAAATCTCGGAGGGCCCGTGTGCAAGTTGCGCACGTTAAAGATCCCTTGGTGGTCTAAAATCGATATGAGTAGGCTTTGGCCGCCACCCGGGCAAAAATTTCCTAACAACTGAAAAAGTTCAATGTGTTCCGCGCGCTCATGTGGCCCTATGCAGTTGCAAGCGCCCTAAAACACTTACCAAAAAAACCAACAACAATGGAAATCAAAATCCGACCTTCTGCTTGCGACAGTGAGGCGCCTAACTGGTACACTACAGACGCAGATACACCCCATAGAGAAAACCAGAAGAACGTCATGGGGCACATCTAGGATTTCATCGTGCAAGATTGTAGGGCAACATCAGAGTTTTACGGCACTTGCAACACAGACAGAGGTCGCATAAATGCCAAAGAGTCCAAGTGTTACCAGAGAGTAACATACACAGAAAAGAAGGAGAGGTAAGGACGACTGATGTTAGATAGCAAAGAAGGAGCAAACCCCAACAGAGCGCCCGCCAAAAACCCATGTTAGACAGTGAGATCTGGGGGCTCAGTTACCTTGACTTAAGCCAATAACACCCAACTCTGTTGTAACTTAAAACCTCAAAAATAATATATACTCAGATCGTTGACAAAACCAACAGAAATCATAAAGAGAAAGCAACAATTTGGTTATAAATGATTTTTATTTCTGAAGAACAAAAATGACCCAATCATTCCACTGCTCACTGTATTTTCCTCTCGTTGGGGGAGCACAGAGTATGCGCACGTACATGATCGGCTAACACAAGATCTTAAAGATAAAGTTCGAAATCTTACTGGTTTTACATCCCTTTGAACACTACAACTATAAGGCTTTTCAAGAGATTGGGTTTTTCCTATAACATCCATCTTCTGTTTGATCTCGTCCAGTGCGCGGACAGCTTGAAAACTTCTCAAACGAGCAGGGATTTGCACCAGGGTCACCCGCACCATAGCCCAGACATGGCACCTACTGAGACAAGGTCTTATACTTTCTCGATACAATAAACAATTTCAGTATAAGCTAGTCACAGCTGAACCGTAAACTTTTCCAAATACCTCTGCTGTGAGCAGACACCAAATACTTTTTGACACCCTTTCTGATTGCTTTTAATTTTACTACATTCTCAAAGTTGACCAACAAGAATTGTGCCAGTACAAGAACGTGTCCTTGATATGATGAAGGGTTCATTATTTCCATGGACTGGTGTGGAACAGCACAGAGAACATGAAGCTTTTGTTGTGTTTAGTAGTGCAGATGCAGCAGCAAGCCCGCAGACTTTTACCCAGGACCACTGAAGTTTTATCAGCTCATGTGGCAACAACACCTGAGAGCGTCATTCAACCTCAGCCTCGGTCTCCTTTACACTTGCTACATGTATTGCTATGAGATACATCAGTTCTGCCTGAACAATCTTGGAAACAGTACCCTGAACTTTAAATAAATGACATGAAAATAAAAATTGGGG